AGGAAGGAAGGAAGGAAGGAAAGAAGAGAAGAAAGAAGAAGAGAGGAGAAGAGAAGAGAGGGGAGGAAACAAAAGGAAAGAAAAAAGCAAAGCAGAGAGAGAGCCTTTCAGGCCAGAATTTTACTTCAAACCCAGCCCTGATGACACACAGCACAGTCACATGGAGAGAAGGTGTTTGCAGCAAAGTCTCCTTGTCTCTTTTCATGCTAGAAATTGTTTTCTGCCTTTGTAAGAGAAACTACATGATTTACTGGGCACAAGTTTCCCTTAAAATTGTTTTTATAAAGTAGGTCTGTACACTAAATTAACTGGAGGTGAAGGATGGATAGATAGGTGGTGCAGGGGCAAATCAGCCAGTGAAAACTTTCTCAAACTTGCTTCTACATGAACAGACACTTCTCAAAAGAAGACATGCAAATGACTAACAGACACATGAAAAAATGTTCATCATCATTAGCCATCAGGGAAATCCAAATCAAAACCACATTGAGACACCACATTACACCAGTTAGAATGGCAAAAAGTGACAAGCAAGAAACTTCAAATGTTGGAGAGGTTGTGGAGAAAGGGGAACCCTCTTACACTGTTGGTGGGAATGCAAGTTGGTACAGCCACTTTGGAAAACAGTGTGGAGGTGCCTCAAAAAATTAAAAATAGAGCTACCTGGTGACCCAGCAATTGCACTACTGGGTATTTACCCCAAAGACACAGATGTAGTGAAAAGGAGGGCCATATGCACCCCAATGCTCATAGCAGTAATGTCCACAATAGTCAAACTGTGGAAAGAGCCGAGATGCCCTTCAACAGATGAATGGATAAAGAAGATGGGTCCCATATATACAATGGAATATTACTCAGCCATCAGAAAGGGTGAATACCCACCAATTGCATCAACATGGATGGGACTGGAGGAGATTATGCTAAGTGAAATAAGTCAAGCAGAGAAAGTCAATTATCATGTGGTTTCACTTATTTGTGGAACATAAGGAATAGCATGGAAGACATTAGGAGAAGGAAGGGAAAAATGAAGGGGGGGAAATTGGAGGGAGAGACGAACCATGAGAGACTATGGACTCCAAGAAACAATCTGAGGGTTTTAGAGGGGAGGGGGGGGGATGGGTTAGCCTGGTGATGGGTATCAAGGAGGGCATGTACTGCATGGAGCACTGGATGTTATACGAAAACAATGAATCGTGGATCACTACATCAAAAACTGGTGATGTATTGTATGGTGATTAACATAACATAATAAAATAAAATAAAATAAAATAAATCAAGGAATGGGAAAAAAATCTTTATTATTGAAAAAAAGAAAATAACGAAATGTGTTGTGATGAGCACTGGGTGTTATATGCAACTAATGAATCACTGAACACTACATCAAAAACTAATGATGTACTATACAGTGGCTAACTGAACATAATAAAAAATAAGCACAATATTCAACTGTAATATTTTTTCAAGGTCATTATATAATAGAAGTGTTTTTCAGTTAAAAAAAGAAAATAACAAAACATCTTGTTTTGAATTCATACATTGTGTGTAGGTCTAATCACATTCATGGAAAGACACCAGGTTTCAATAGGGGCAGCCAAGGTATCCAAGAGGCAGGAGATGTCCCTGACGTCCATCTTTAAAGACTCCTTCCCAGAGGAACTGCGTGTGAATGAGAGAGAGAGAAATTTGGTGCCGAGATAGGGGAGGCAGTGCCAGTACATGTAGTGGAATAGAATAAAGAGAACTAAGCAACAGTGGTGAGAGGTTAGTGGAACACAGAATGAGGGTGAAAGGTACTTTAATGTATTTTTAAATAACCATTGTTTCAGAAGTAACTATAGTCAAATATCACACATCTAAATTGGAGACAAATACAAATCAGAGGGGAGAATTTTCAAAGGAATTCTATTTCAAACATTTCGCCTCTCTGAGCCTCAGTTTCTTTGTCTAAAAAAGTAGGGAAATTAGACATGAGTGCTTTAAGAACACTAGGGTTTTGCTGAGATCCTTCAAGGTCTTATTGGGAGAATGATAGGGAGGCTGAGTGGGTGAAGCCCTACCTCCCATTAACCAGAGCAGCTTTGTGTTTATTTAGTTCATTGAGATAAAGGAGGTCAGTTTTTATCATCTAAACTCCTCTGACACAGTTCTCTGAGCCTTCTTTGCTTTATCTTTCTGTGGTTCTAGTTCTAAGACCACTTGCTACAATAATGTGAGCAACATGATCCATAGAGACTTTAAGGCCAAGTAATGATAAGAAAAATTTGTAGTTATAATCTCTAATTGAGCAAATAAATTTCTACTAACATCATTTTCAGTAGCCTAAATGAATTTTCCTATACTTTCCCCATCTTGTTTATGTTATGGATTTACTTAAAAGATGTTTTCTTTATGGTGTTCACAACATAAACCTTTAGCCTTTTTAAGTTTTCTGATTTAGTTTACATTATAATATCTGAATGAGGGAGGTGACATAGTGTAAGTAGGAATGGAAAACCCATGGTACATGTACCACCACTGCCCTTTCCCATACTCATGGCAGACATTACTAGTCAATCACAGAACTCTTTCCTTCATTGAGTCTCAGTGAAGCCTTAGAATTTTTTTCAACATAGCATTAGACAGATACTACCAAGGGAATCAGAGTTGGCACTTGAGGTGACTACGCTAAGGTAGAACTGGCTTTGGATTTACACAGTTCCCTGTTCAAGTCCTAATTCTGCCATTACCTCTGTGGTATTAGAAATCTAAGTTTCCTCAGCTTCAAACTTGGGGATAATCATTATTTTATGGAATTGTTTTGATTATTATCATTATTATAGATGCAAAGAGCTCTATGTATAAGCGCTTGATAAATCATGGATATTATGATTCCATTTGAAAAGAAGCTACAATTGCTTCAGTTTTTGTTCTTCATTGTGCCCTTATTGCTGTAAAGAAGACCTTTTGGGTGGACCAGAAAGCAGCATTTCTGTTGTTTCCTTCTGCTCAAACATCACCTCTTGGTCCTTAGCAAAATGTTTTTTTTTTTAATCTTTAGTTGCTGTGAAAACAAGAGTTAGGTTTCTCAAGGTCTTGATTGGCAACATAAATATCTTATTACTATAATTTCTAGCACAAAACTTATTCAGCAGTCATCCCAATTATGGTCAAGTAATCTAGACAAGATAATATTTAGAGACTGAATAATATATATCTCAAAGTTTCAGCTGGTCATATATTTATGTGTCTATGTCTATGTACGTATATGTATGTATATGTATGTATATGTATGTGTATGTGTATGTCTATGTCTGTGTCTATGTATGTTACTTTATAGAAGCAAGTTTTTTTCTTCTTTTTCTTTTTTTAAATTTTATTATGTTATGTTAGTCACCATACAGTACAACATTAGGTTTTGATGTAGTGTTCCATGATTCATTGTTTGTGTATAACACCCAGTGCTCCATTCAATACGTGCCTTCCTCAATACCCATCACTGGGCTAACCCGTCTCCCCACCCTCCTCTCCTCTAAAACCCTCAGTTTGTTTCTCAGAGTCCATCGTCTCTCATGGTTCATCTCTCCCTCCGATTTCCCCCCCTTCATTTTTCCCTTCCTTCTCCTAATGTCTTCCATGCTATACCATATGTTCCACAAATAAGTGAAACCACATGATAATTGACTTTCTCTGCTTGACTTATTTCACTTAGCATGATCTCCTCCAGTCCCATCCATGTCGATGCAAATGGTAGGTATTCATCCTTTCTGATGGCTGAGTAATATTCCATTGTATATATGGACCACATCTTCTTTATCCATTCATCTGTTGAAGGGCATCTCGGCTCTTTC